TGCATGTGTTTGAGCAAGTCTCACTCACATACATGGCTCAACTCTCACATGGAAACATACCAGTTCTTACTTGGTCAACCTCTCCTTCATGTGTATGTGGTCCATTAGTTCACTTCTTCCGCTTGTCAAGTTCAATCATGTGTTGATATACCGGTTCTTGCTTTGTCAACCTCTCCTTCATGTGCATGTGTTCCATTAGTTCACTTCTTCCGTTTGTCAAGTTCAATCATGTGTTGATGTTCCGGTTCTTACTTAGTCAATCTTTCCTTCATGTTCACTTCTTCCTTTTGTCAAGTCCAAGCATGTGTTGATGTTTCGGTTCTTACTTAGTCAATCTTTCCTTCACATGCATGTGTTCCATTAGTTCACTTCTTCCGTTTGTTAAGTTCAATCATGTGTTGAGGTTCCGGTTCTTACTTAGTCAATCTTTCCTTCACGTGCATGTGTAACACTAGTTCACTTCTTCCTTTTGTCAAGTTCAAGCACGTGTTGATGTTCCGGTTCTTACTTTAGTCAATCTTTCCTTCATGTGCATTTGTTCCACAAGTTCACTTCTTCCTTTTGTCAAGTTCAAACATGTGCTGATGTTCCGGTTCTTACTTAGTCAACCTTTCCTTCATGTGCATGTGTTCCATTAGTTCACGTCTTCCGTTTGTCAAGTTCAATCATGTGTTGATGTTCCGGTTCTTACTTAGTCAATCTTTCCTTCATGTGCATRTGCAACACTAGTTCACTTCTTCCTTTTGTCAAGTTCAAGCATGTGTTGATGTACCGGATCTTACTTGGCCAACCTCTCCTTCATATGCATGTGTTCCACTAGTTCACTTCTTCCTTTTGTCAAGTTCAAGCATGTATTGATGTTCAGGTTCTCACTTAGTTAACCTTTCCTTCATGTGCATGTGTAACACTAGTTCACTTCTTCCTTTTGTCAAGTTCAAGCATGTGTTGATGTTCCGGATCTAACTTGGCCAATCTCGCCTTCATGTGCATGTCTTCCACTAGTTCACTACTTCGTTTGTCAAGTTCAAGCATGTGTTGATGTTCGAGTTCTTACTTGGTCAATCTCTCCTTCATGTGCATGTGTTCTGTTAGTTCACTTCTCCGTTTGTCGAGTTCAAGCATGTATTGATGTTCCGGTTCTCACTTAGTTAACCTTTCCTTCATGTGCATGTGTTCCACTAGTTCACTTCTTCCTTTTGTCAAGCTCAAGCATGTGTTGATGTTACGGTTCTTATTTGGTCAATCTCTCCTTCATGTGCATGTGTTCCGTTAGTTCACTTCTTCCTTTTGTCAAGTTCAAACATGTGTTTATGTTCCGGTTCTTACTTAGTCAATCTTTCCTCCATGTGCATGTGTTCTACTAGTTCACTCCTTCCTTTTGTCAAGTTCAAGCATGTGTTGACGTTCCGGTTCTTACTTGGCCAACCTCTCCTTCATATGCATGTGTTCCACTAGTTCACTTCTTCCTTTTGTCAAATTCAAGCATGTGTTAATGTTCCGGTTCTTACTTAGTCAATCTTTCCTTCATGTGCATGTGTTCCATTAGTTCATTTCTTCCGATTGTCAAGTTCAATCATGTGTTGATATTCCGGTTCTTGCTTGGTCAACCTCTCCTTCACATGCATGTGTTCCACTAATTCACTTTTACACTTTTGTCAAGTTCAAGCATGAGTGGATGTTCCGGTTCTTACTTTAGTTGCTCTTTCTCTAAGGGATGGGTGATCGACATTGGGCTGCTATTACGGGGTGATGACTTGATTAGGACTAGGAGACTCTTGCCTTT